GTGTTCCTTGCGCGTCTCTTTAGTGGTGCTGGTAGCTCGGTTGGCAGGGATGTCGCTTCGTGGTCGCGGTCGCGTTCAGGGGTCGAGATGGCCATCTCTCTCACGCGTCCAGATCGCAAACTCATCCACACAACAGTATTTTCGGTCCGTTGCGATATACAGTCAGTCGCTAGCGATTCGCTACTGCATACAGTTGGTCTGGTCGATAGAGCATACACTCGCTTGCATAATCGGCTTCCCTTCCATGTACAGTGATTAGCGATTGCGGCTTCACCCCTGCAAGCAGCATTCTAAAAGTTTCGTCATCATGAGACTGAAGATTGGCCAATTATGTTGATTGCTCTGCAGCTGACTGCTCGCGCTAAGCTATGTACGGAAGGTGGGGCTATTCAAAATCGTTGCGCAGCTGCGTGTAAGGGTGAAGCCGCAATCGCTAATCACTGTAGTTACTATGTCTAGTTGTATCATTCTGAATGTTTTCGTAGGCATGGTTAAGCAGAAAGGCATACTCTACAGTCGTTAGCGATTGGGGCTTCACCCTTACACACAGCTGCGCAACGGATTTGAGTAGCCCCACCTTCCTTGTGTAGCTTAGTACAAGAAGTCAGCAATAGAACCATCGGTGTGATTGGTCAATCCTCAATCTTCTAGTGACTGGACTTTTGGAACGCTGCCTAGTATATGATGCTACGTGACTCGGCCCCTGATACATCCTGAATAGGTAATTACGGACCCCGATTCAAAAACACGCGTATGCAACGCGGATCAGACCCGGATTCTCGCCCATTATAGCCTAGCGCGAGTCGCCCCCTTGATTTCCGCGTTTTAGTTCTAGCGTAAGCCCCTGTTACAGCCACGGGCAAACTGCTCACGCTCATGGGCTAGTCCTTAGTTTGTAGGATGCGGGACGAGCTAACTACGCAATCCATTAACCACGCCGCAGCCATGTAAGCATGGAAATGCAGGGCCGCTGCATATCGCGTAAATGCTGCGATAACTTGATATTTGATGAGATCAACATTTGTGCTTGTCTTGTTTGGGTAGAGCTGGCGATACAAGTGTTCACAATACAGCCAAGCGCCTCACGACATGACGCCGCAACCACCTCCAGTGGAGGCCAGTCAAGCGCGCACGAAGCTCTAGATGCTTCCGAGCCTACCTTTCCGATATGAGGTGACGAAAAAGGTCTAACCTATATGAGGCAACAAATGAGACCTACCCGAGAGGATGCCCTTGATCCTAACCTAACATCCCCCCTGCTCTCCAGAAAACATTGTAGGCAGGAAAATTTCAACTATTCAGATTTTAGTGTACGATAACTGCCAGTATTTAGTGTTACATCGTGGTCACGTGCGTATCGGGTGATTATCGGTCTAATTCGACATTATTTTCTAAGCTCTTTACCATCTTGAAGGTGATGAAAACAGCCTGGACCACTCGTGCCAATCCCATGAGCACAGTTCCCGATCCAAATTCCAACTATGCTGCAGGTAGTCCTTCCAAATCTGGGTGATGATCTAGTCATGTCCGTCGGATGAATTGTCGGAAGCCGTGTCTTTGCTAGGCTTACTCCGATAAAAAATGTAAGGTACGGGCAAGCTACCCCATAGAGTGTCTCTTTCCGCCCTGCAATTACCATTCCGAATCCCAAGAATACTCTGACTCATCTTTGAGGCACATATTGTCCATTTGGTCATTACATGCTTCGTCCGCAGCCTCATTTTCTGACCTAGGAATCCACTTGTAAGTCACCCATCCGCGCTCTTTCAGATCATCGTTCATATCCGAGGCCTTTTTGATGAGATCTTGGTTTGCGACCCCGTTTCCTTTAGCATTGATCCATCCATTCTGGGCCCACTTGTAGATCCACGTGTTCATGCATTCGACCGCGTATCTGGAATCTGACATGATTGTCAAGTCCATGCCGACGATATTGCTCAGACTGTCGTACTTCTCAAGCGCTAATTCCAGCGCCAGAATGATGGCGCTAATTTCGGCCCGCTGATTCGTGGCCCTGGGAGAGCTGGGTAGTTCACGTGTCCACGTCTTGAGGGCCATCCCATTTCTTCCTAGAATCACAGCTGCTGCGGCGCCGATGGCTCCCTGCTGGCCGTTCCCTCTACAGCCGCCATCCACCTTGATCACCATAGTGTAAACCATATTTTTGTAGTTGCCAGGGGTAGACAATAGAGAAACAGAGTGGGTGGTGAGCTTGTGCTTGGAAATAGAGGAAAGTTTGCTTACGAGTTCGCATGGATGTTTGTAGGTCAGCTTCACAGAGGGGCTTGGTTTAACCCCGCTTCTTACCGTATAGCGCCTGGGGCAATGCTTGGCCCGGGGCAATGCCCGTTTTCCTCACCAAAACAGCAGCTCAATATGAGCCTGTTGAGCCATGTACGATAGCTGATATCGCGATACACTTTGGTGTTGAGTTTTATACGCCTTGATTGATATATATAGCTATAGAAATCGTGTTGGAGTCTTGATCGCGCGGCCACCTCGCGACGTTAGAGCTGGAGGAGCCGCTGCAGTCCCTGAGGCCTCCTCACTACCCTGAGCCCACGCAGCAGCTCTTCTACCTGGAGCTGCCTGGATAGAAGCCTTGAGGCTCTTCTTCTTACCCTTTTTGGCAGTTTTGAGAGCTGAGTAAAGGCGTTGTTGAGTCCTACGAGCTGCTGCCCTTGACGCCTGTTCCTCAGCCTTCCTAGCCCTCTCCTGCCCACGTAGGATACGCGCTGCTGCCCTTGCTGCACGCCTCTCCTGAGTAGCCTGAAGCTTGATCTGCTTTCTCTCCTCACGTAGATGAGCTCTCTCAGCTTTTTGAAGCCGGTGCTGCTCCTCCTGAAGCTCCTGTTCCTGCTGGCGATCACGTGCCTCCTTCACCTTCCTTGGAGACCAGAATACAGCTCCACCATAGTACTCCTCACCCTATCCTCAATCCCTATACGCATGACTATTCTCGTCATAGGCCCCTCCTCGCACAAAATCCCCCTATAGACAAGCCTCGACTTATGCCCCTTCCCAGACTATGCTTCACGCTTACGCGCAGCTGCGCAACAGATTTGGGCAACCCCACCTTCCGTATATAGCTTAGCACAAGAAGTTAGCTACGAAACTATCGGTGTGATTGGTCAATCCTCGATCTTCTGGTGACTGAGCTTTTGGAACACTGTCTACAGGGATGAAGCCGTAATCGCTAATGACAGTGCCTTGTCCCATAGAACGCGCAGCGCAGCTGCCTGCAGTAAACTGGCTTACTCTCATTTGCACTACGGCGTAAACTGCTTACTGACAAGCAGTCGCGCCAAGCCGACGTACCCTTCAAAGTGCTTACGGTGGCGAATGAGTCGTATAAGTTAACTAGTTACGCGCAGCTGTCATCATATAAGTATGACTAGCCTCGAGGCACAACAAGAACCAAGTGTCACATAGGCAATATCTCAGATCACTTGAATAGTGTGAGGGCATCTAAATGGGGAGATTTGTGACGGTAGTGGCGTCAGATCGACAATGAGGGTTTCTTACCATTAAGTTCACGCTATCATTTCTTCAAGTCGGTCCTAGTGCATGTGCTTCATTCCATTGAACAGCTCTTAATAAATATGACATGTTAATGCAGCCTAATTCAAATGCCATCTAAGACAGTGTGCAGCTTTCAAGTCTTTACGGTAGTGCTGCGAGCGAGCTCAGTCTACCTTATCAAGACATGGTAGACTAACTTACTCGATGCCGAAAACGGGCGAGAACTAGCGCAGCTACATCACTCGGCTCAACTGAAGCTTGGACTGGTGGGTGGTCTGTTTCTGTCACAAGATTCTGAGTTGTTGGAAGTTATGGAGCTTACTAACTCGCGCGTTTGCATTCAGCTGCGGCTGTCAACTAGGGACCGTTCCGTTCCGTTCCATGGGTCGGCACGCTCATTCGATTACATCATCATGCATCGTCATATACAGTCGCGAGTCAAAAGTTTGTTCGCGCTAACGCCTGGGCCACGATCCCCACTTTTGACCAAAACTTCAAATCTAACGTCCATCCCTAAGTCACGAGACGCACCGCGTCGCGAGACGAACACCAGGTACTTTGAAATCAAACATTCATAATCTTCTAAGCGCGTGTGATTAACCTGTAATATTCTGTCAATAGCTTCTTAGCCTACTTGAACCTACTTGTAACTATACTTCTAAATACAAAAATTACGCCATCGTTGACGCCTGCACGCCGTGCGCAATCGAGCCTTCGTTTGTGCCAAAATCCAAGCCTATGCTGTACAGCATGGCGCTTGACCCCTAAGACCCTATGAAGGTAATGAACTGACTCATCTAGACTTCCGAATGTTACTATAGGTATAGGAAGTCACCGCCAGCCTTGTGGCGACTGTCGCGCGCTTGTTCATGTTTGATTGCCACCCCAGTCAGTACTTGAGATCGCAGCGGCTTCCCAATGCGGTTGGTGCAGAGCTAGCCCCACACTTATAATACGAGTAGCGTGTAATTTACTCTACACTGCCAAGAAGGTGGCTATCGTGGCTGTGCAGGTTATAAAGTAGATATGTGTTGAAGCATTACTTAGAATAGATAGATGTATCTTTATGCTCTAACATCCATCCCTTCATAATAGACGTCTTAGTGTGCCGGAACTGACCAAACAACTTCTCAAGAATCTACAACCCTCGCTAACTGACCAAGAATTTATGTATATTCACTAGTTACAGCGTTAATAACATGCGCTTTCAGTTTGCCGAAGGCCTAAAGTACAAAACTATCTCGTTTTAGGATACATTCTGGGCCTCAGGATGTATATTACCTACGATTCTATCTGTCACGGCAGTTATTCCGTTACAAAGGGATGCACATTATAAGACTTTCTAATGTTTCAAGTTCTCCTAAATCACTTTCGATAATTGATATCGATACTAACGTCCATCACTACTAGTGATCTTTTATAAAAGTACTGCTGGAGAGCCCCTATTCAATACTAATCTAGTAATTACAGCAGCTATTAATACCATGTAAGTCTCATAACTAGGCATTTAGTATTGTTAAGCTAGAGCAAACTAAGTATAAGGAAGCGAGTGTATTATTGCTTGTGTAGAACAGCTCTCGCTATGCGCGAGCTCAAGAGTGATATCTAAGTAGGCCAAGCCTAATCAGGATGAGCGTGCAAACGCCGTTGGGTAAGGTTGTTACCTCGACATCCACCTCCCGACAGATGTTAGCCTTTAGTTTATTTCGAAATCTATGTTAAAGGACTATTAGGATAGAATCGACGCATGAAGAGCCAACGACCCCTCAACACTGACGGGAGTGAGGCGAGAGCGCTCGCCAAAAATATTTCCCACCAAGAGCCCATCACAGTCGAACGACATCGACCGGACATTTGGATGGGCAGCCAGGCAGCGAAGAGTCATGCCGTTAGATGGCTCTGCCGACGTATCTCGGATAATAGGCTTCCAGCAGTCCCAGGTGTAGCCGCAAATGCCGTTGCGATTCTCGTTCTTGTCGCAACCCACAATAAGACAGCCGACAGGTGGGGCGGTGAGTCCTACGGCGAAGAGGGCACCTTCTCCCACTGCCAGGATGGTTGTTCCAACGGTAGCGCCCTCAATGGCGGCGACGCCTGCAACGGTTGCGCTAACAGCAGGGCCGGCGGCGGTGCCCACCGCAGGGGGGGCGGCGAGTGTGAGACCCATTAGGACACCGACCATTGTGGTAATTCTGATCAAAGGTTCTGTTCTCACCCTAAGAATGAGCGATATTGCCTAAGCGGTAGGTGGATTCAAGTATGATTTTAGGGATAAAGAAGGGGCGCATACAAACTATGTGCCTAGTAACGATGGGCGGCTTAGGGTGCTCCAGGCCGAGAAAATCTTGCTGATGGGTCGTGGCTTCCCTCCTCAAGCGCAACGCGGCGATTGCTCTAAATAAACTTCATGCCCTCATATCCTGTACATCTAGGTGGTGGTGGTGGATGCAGAACCGAATGCATGCTGGTAATAATGAGTGGTCGACGGCGTCGCCACGTCGGCCGCTTTTCTCAGTCGACGCGTCCCAAATCATGAGTTGCCAAGAGATCTATGGCATTTTTAGCGGGTGGTCTGTCCTGATCGGACCCAATAAGGATTTGCCACGAAGGTGGGGCAACCACTACAGAACCACATGAGACTGCTCCAACCACTCCTTCGTTATTACCCACCACCACAACAGGTGACATACTAGTCAAATCACGTGACTAGGCACGACTAGAAGGATTACGGCGCAGCGTCTCACATCACATCCTTCGTCCTGCTTACTGGCTATAAGCGTGATTAGGAGTGCTAGCATCTCAGGTTCATCACACTGCAGTCAGATGTTTGTCTGACTATGTCATAGCTAATTAGTAGCCGCACTGTAAGCAAAACCCTTAACTAATACATTTTCGCAACTGGTGCTTTCCACGGTGCTCCTGCGGCTTCTGCTGCCTCGAAATTGCTTACTCTTGCGACCTTGACTTTTGGTATCGATAAGCCAGCCTCTGCTTCCGGCTCAGTACTCTTTCGCTTCCGGCCACGCCTCACTGTATTTGTGGGTGCCGTGGCTTCTGCTGTCTCCTGCGCAGCATTCTTGCTCTTCCGACCGCGCTTCCCTCTAGCTTTAGCCTTAGCTTCTTTAGCTGCCGCCTCTTCCGCTCGCTTCAGCCGTTTACCTTGGAGATGCTCATAGCTGAACACCTGCCCAGACCCCTTCTCGAGTATATCGGCTCTAGTTGACCGTCGGGGCTTAGCTTCGTTATTTACCGCCATCAACAGTTGAATGTGATTTTGCTGGAGAGCACTCCTAGTTAGAGACAGCTGGGTGGCTTTGGCGAGTTTCAGTAAGTGTCGCTGCAAGTTCTGCTTACTTATTTCGTCAAGAGCATGGGCGTCGTTTTCCAGAATGAGATTTTGCAGCAATATAAGACCGTCCGCTGATACTGGTGTTATAGGTGTTTGCAGCGCTGTATCTTCTTGGTTAGGTGCTTCGTTAGTTACCACGGGAGTTGGTTCGGCTGGAGGTTTCGGCACAGTCCTAAGCACTCTATCTGGATTCAACGGGAATAAACCACTTGCGGCAAAACCAGCCTTGATGTTCTTCGCTGTGAATGCTCGCTCCTTGGCAGGCTTGTATAAGCAGGTAAAATGCTCTTTGCCAATAGCATTAACACCGCCTCGCTCCAACCTTTCGACTTGCTCGCGATAAGCTGTCTTCAGCGGGCCAAATACAGCAACGTCGCAAGGCTGAAGCTTATGAGACGTGTGAGAGGGGAGACGACACAAGATGATGTTGTTTGCAAAACAATACTCTAGGATCTCAAGCGTTTCGTGTGTCCCAAAACCGTCAAGGATCAGTACACGCGGTCTACCATGAGCACGTTCCTTGGTCTCGGGATCAAACACACGCTTGAGCCACTGCAAGCTAATGTTGGAGTCCGTGTATCCAGATTCATTGCACGCATAATGCCATCCAGGGGTTGGAAAGGTAGTCCAGTTACTTCGGTGGGTGGTAGCCGGCCAGATGATCATGGGGTGTAGATACCTACCGTCAGCGCTAATGCACTCGATAGCAGTCACCATCGTTCGCTTCACGCGCGCGCCTCTATGGGTTCGTTTGTCATCCTTACCTACGAGCACCTTTACCGAGCCAAGCATGGATAGCATGACTCCGGTCTCGTCCATGTTGTATACATTCTCCGCTGCAATAGCTGGATTGCGCAGTACCTTCCCGATTACCTCAAACCAATGTATCATCTTGTCAGCGATGTTATTCTCGTGGCGGTTCCAGTCTAGCGCTGTGACGCGTCTCGCTGCCGTCTCTGGATGGCGCTTCTCGAAGGCTTTTGCCCAGTTTTTGCCTGGGGGCTTGGAGGGTCTGTTCGCCGCGGACCGACCGCGGGTAGCGACGAAGGCGAGCGAGGGAATGTGCTTGATTCGTACGGGCCGTCCGAGATCTGACATGTGTAAGATGAAATTGACGAGGGCGCTCTCTTCCCATGGTGTCAGGTACTGCTGGCTCTGTGCCTTGTCCTGCATCGAAGGTCGGCCATGAGCGCGATGATGGAGGGTACTGCGAGCGACTCCGCCGTGGTCTGCCAAGGTACGGTATGACCTACGCACGCCAGGAGGGACGCCTTGTGCTAACACTTGCCTAGCCTTATCCATGGTGGTTAGTAACAGTCTACAGTGCAGATGATGTCTCGTCACTTGGAGGGGTCGTGAGGCATGGGGACAACAAAGGACTCGTTCTCGTTCCACGACCCACAACACGCGCCACACTTATTTTTAGACACATAGAGCATTAGGGAATAGCGCAGGAATTTATTACGATGTTACGTTATCATTCTAACAGAGTTAAATGCATCTCGCCACCCAGGGGGGCTTCTATGCATCACCTTCTCCGCACGGCGAAACTGCCGGCATCCACAATTTGACCATTCAGCAGTGCTAAACTTTGAGACAATTATTTCTAATACCTGTGCTTCTTTTGTAGATATCCGAATATGTGATAGAGATGTAGAGTCGCGTTTGGACAGGGGTCAAATAGTAAAGAGGGGACGAACCGCCTTGAGGAAAAGATCATCGACATGTTCAATTTTGCAGAGATCTTGTTCGGAGGCTGTCCTGCGGAAGCAGCAAGAGTATAGATCCATGTACATTTACTACAGTTTTATTGGTTTGCGCGTTCGATTTTCCGAAGGTCCGAAGTGCAAAACCGTCTCGTCTCGGGGTGCGTCCCGGGTCTCAGGGATGGACATTAAATAGTTACTTGAAGTCAAAGTATCCGCCATATTTTCCCACACAGGTGGTTTTCCGCCACGGGTGGACGAATGTTCGATGCTATCCTGGGCAGATACGAAGACGCAGCCTCACCGGTCTCAGCCCTAGGCATCAGCCGATCACACCGGTGAACACCTCCCGCTCAAGCCTAAAGTAGTATATTAAGAGGGAACATATCCCATTTTCTATCTTAGCTTCTTTATACCACCTTCTCTGCATCTATTCTTCTGCACTTTCTTTAGCCTTCACTCAAGACGCAAAGATGGAGAACGATGTTTTTCCTTACGAGCCGCTCTCACTTCAAGTGCCCGAGATTCGGCTAATCCAAGTATCTACGCGCCAAGATGAGAGTCAACCTGTTCTTTGCACAATGGTACATGCCGTACTTCCCAAGGATTTCGTGGCTCTGTCCTATACCTGGGGCCAAGAAATGCCTCTATACACAATCTACATCAACGGCAGACGTTTCTCGATACGACAAAATCTTTACGAATTCCTAGCTACAATATCACAAACCGGCTCCTACGAAGATAAATACATATGGATCGACCAGATCTGCATCGACCAAGGAAACGGGCCCGAAAAGAATCGGCAGGTCTCTCAAATGGGAGACATATACGGGAACGCAAACGGAGTCGTTGCATGGCTTGGTCTAGCTGTCGCCTCGGGCGATTATTGGCTTGATCTCATGAGCCATAGTCATATGCCCACAATGATCGACGTTCAGAAGATTTTGCCTTTCTGGAACCACCTATTTTCCAATCCGTACTGGTGCCGAGTCTGGATCACGCAGGAAATCATATTGTCACGAAAGCTGACAATACTACTTGGGAACAAAGGTATCGACATCGATACTATCCAGCCGTATCTAGAGAGTAGTCTTATCTATATGCACAAAGGGGACTCCCAAGCGCAAATATCAATCAGGGGAGCGATGAACCTGTTTGAATGTCGCGCCTCCTGCTCGGAAAATCGACTAGACTGGCCGGCCGCAATAGCTCTGGAAGAATTCGCTAAGTGTAAAGAAACCCTCGATTACGTATATGGCATGAACAGTCTGGTTGCTAAGGAGTATGCCGTTGAAGTCGATTACGGGACCGCGCCGGCATGCTTATTTTTTCTCGTTTTGAGAGCCAGTTACCAATCTTTCAACACCCATCGGAACCGCATGGCTCTCCAGATGCAGTCAAAGCCGCCCGATGAAGGCTCCTTAGGGATGGATTTTCATTTCTTTGCGCGGCATTTGCAACGACTGCTAGGCCTGGATCGCGACCAGAACGTGGCAGGATTCCTACACTGGAGCACTAAAGAACAAAGCCTACTCCGTGACACCAATTATGCGACTCACATCGAGTATATGATAGGCAGGCTTGCAGTTCCGTCGTCGGTACCCACTGATGAAGATATGGAACATGCTCGTGTAGTAAGGAATATTAGATGGGGTATTTTCACGGACGAGATGGAGGGGATCATGAAGAAGAGCCAGGTGTAACGGGCTGGTGCCCTTTTACTCAGGTATTCGGTTCTGGAATGCCCCCCCATTCCATAACTAAACTCTGTTAGGCTTAGTGTTAGGGTGTCCTTATAACTACTAACCGTCCTAGCCTAAGATATAAATATAAAGCTATGTTAAGCATGTTTACAGCTTCTCTAACATACTAGATTATATAGAGTAAGTTAATATTTCCTCTCTTTTACCTTTACTACCTTTTTACAGCGTTATACTGCTGTATTATAATTATAGAATGCTTACGCTTTTAATTATGCTTATAAGCAGTAAGTAAGCACTAAGGACATAGCTTGAAACGCTGCGCTATAACCCTTTTAACTACACTATAGTTATGTGATACGCACCGTAATCTGTATGCCTAACCAATATAAGGCGGCGAAAGAGGCCTAGTATATGATGCTACGTGACTCGGCCCCTATCCTCAATCCCTACTCGTTATGCCAAACCGAACTATGGTCTCTTGGGAACAATGGTCGGATAGCGCGTTTTATCCATGCAAATTCATCTCGCTAACTACTCCTGACAGTTATTCCATGGAGAACAAACCTTTGTTCCATTTTCACAGCCCGCGCTCTTGGTTCGCAGGGGGCTTGTTCCCTAAGATTTGGAACAAACCCTTTGTTACGAACCTGAGCAGAGGGGACAGCGCAAGATATGGAAAGAATGAAGGAAGGGGCCATGTCCAAGACCTCTTTCAGAGGGAGGGACATACCCAGCCAATGACGTATGAGTAAGCATGTGTCCCGCACGCTTGGCGGAACGCCACCATGGGACATGTCACGTGTGTCCCACGGATCCCATATAATCCCACGGTGTCCCACGCATGGGACAGTGTAGAACAATGTAGGACATAGGACATTCATTCAGTATATAGCAATAGGCATCGAACCCTTATGACTCGATGTGTTCAACTTAAGTTACGAGTACAAGTACTACAATACAATAGTTACTTGCAGAGACGCTGTTCATATCACCCTGTTGCTTCATCCGCGAAAACCAACCCAAGAAGTCTTGACACCAGAAGTCTTATATTACTTCCACTCGAGACATACTCTTAACACCCTTCTCCTTAGTCCTTAGTTATGGAAAACAGCTGCAACTTAAGTGAATAATACAAATCATTCGCGCGCAACTAACGCACTACCTTTTACAGTACTACGATAGATGTAGCGCAAGATAAAGTCTGGTAGGGAGTTGGTGTTTGTGGGTGTGGCCTGTGCCCAGTGAGAGTAGCGCTTAGGGTCTAAACCTGTTAATCCTAACTTTGCAATTATTTTACAGAAACCAAGATCGCATCTCTTAGTCGAGAAAGACGACACAGAGGCGCCAGTTAGGGGTACTTAGAAACATTCCCCCTCCATTATCTCGTTTAGATACCTTACGGGATAACATGTGGTTATTGCGCTTACCCTACGCCCATGTTTTCTTTACGTACCGTGCTCCATGTCTGCAAAGCTGCCCTTTATCTTTTCAACGATTATGGAAGACTTTCACTATAGGCAACTGTTTCTACTACGACGATCCTAGTATTTCCAAGAGCTACATCAGCGTTGTTTTCCATGCGAGAGCGCTTCCAACTGGAGAGAGGATGAATGTCTTCCCCGTAGCCGTACTCCATCCTCAAGCTTTCTCCACATTGTTCGACGAGATTTCTCGTAGTTTCCTGGTCATCTGAATACCGCCAAAGCCTTCATGCGTCGTATGCGCTCTATAGACAGAGCCTCGCTCAGCAAGACGACCAAGGTCGCCTTCAACACTGTGATGCACCTGCCCAGAAATCTTCATGGTTGAGCCACCCAGGGCATGCATAGCGATCTCCAACAAAAGCGACGAAGGCACTTATGAGTGTTGGCGTGGTGAGGCCTATCTTATTGATTCCAACGATGCGGGTGACGGATACGAGATGTCCTTTGACAGGTCAGTATTTGTTTCTTTCGTCTATGTTGTCTTCTGCGTGGTGCTGATTAGTATCCTTGTGCGTTGCTGTGGAAGTCAGACCTTTCGTCTTCTGTCAGGATGGTGATCGGACGCGGTTCATAGAGGCTGAGGATCCTTAACATTGCCGTGGAAAGAGGATTTGTGATATCAATACCCACAAGCTTAATTCACCCGATCTGTACTTAGCGCGGGGAAACATCTTGTCTGCTTCTTTGCGTAATCCTAGTGGCTATATCTGGAGTTTCTCGCGTTTGGCCGATGGCTCTTCGTTCGTCGATGCGCGTCGCGAGACTTTCTCGGGCCGAGTTTCTTCTTGATCCGTGAGGCGTTGAACCACTTCCATTGCCGTTGGTCGAACTTCAGAATCCCATGCTAAAAGTTCTAGGACCAGATTCCAGAAATCCGGATAGTGCAGCTCAACAGTATTCGTTGCCATAGTCTTCTTGAACTTCTCATAGGTTGCAGCCTCTCCCAATTGTTTGTGAAACTGCTTGTTTAACAGGAAGTCGACAAGAGTAACACCCAGGCTCCAAACATCCGATGGGAACGAGAATGGTTGAGTTGATTCTCCATTTTTCACTCTCATGACCTCCGGAGCAAGATAAGTCATTGTTCCTCGGTGATGACGCATGCTTGTCGGATCCGGCTCGCTACATCCAAAGTCGATGATTATGGCATGTACCGGGCTGATAGAGTGATAAAAAATATTGTTGGGTTTGATGTCTCGATGTAGTATGTCAAGGTTGTGTACATGAGCGAGGCCGGACGCTACCTGGCGCATCGAGTCACGAAGAAAAGTAGCAGAATCAGGAAAAGACTTCCAGGATTTGAGTAACCCCAGCGCTCCAGTGGTTGCTGGTGGCGACAGGATGAGGCCCACCGTTGGACCTTCATCCTGACGCCACATACGTGGATCGGCGGATGAGTCCCAATTGACGACCTTTTCAAGTTTGCAAACATTCTTCTAAAAAAAAGTCTCAGTCAAGTTCTTTTTCTGCCCAAGGCAACTTACATCATTGAGGCGGCCCAGGATTTCAATCTCTTTTCGAAGGTCATTGAACTGCGCAGCAGTACATTTGACCATTTTGACGGCGACTGACTTCCCATTTGACTTGTCATATCCCAATGACACGGTGCTGGTTGTTCCGTGAAGATTGGCATCGAAGATGCTGTAGCCATGGTAGTCGATAGTGTTCCTGGATGGTGTTGGTGACAGAAGCATGACAGACTTATCAAGCCCAGTGCTAGCTCGTTTGAGGGCTTCTTGGAGTTCGCATTGTTGTTGCTTCGGGTTCAAGTCTGTGTATACGAGACGATAAGTCAGGTCGCCAAGTCCGATGCTGGTACCATGCTGTAGAGAGGCCTGATAATCTTGTTCATCCTGCTCCTCCCTTTTGATGTCGCGTTGGACGGTTTTGCCGTCGACACTGACCTGCAATAGGAATAAGTCGATGGTACACTGATATATCAGCGACAAGTTACCTTTCTGCTATCAGATATAGCCAGTAATACACCAGTTTCGAGCAGGCGTCGCAGCCTGCAGTGGCGCGAATGAAGAGCATATTCATTGGTGAACGGGGCAAGAAGGAAGTCTACAAAGCTGTCTGGCTTGTTTGTTCGTGAACTTCCCAGGACCCAGCCTAGCCTTTCGTTTGCAGGCGGAATGGTCATGTTCAGTCGGTAGTAACCACAGTATTCCTGGACGGGTTCATGCTGTGGAGGTGGAGTCGCACTGGTAAAACTACTTCCAGTAGTGCTATCGTCAAGATACGCAACTTCATAGTGAATGAAGCTGCACACGTGATTCCACTTACTAGCATCACTGTCAAGAAGCCGGACAACCTGACTGAAAAGCGTGCGAGCCGCTGGAGAGTGGCACCAATCGTGCAAAGTCGCCGTTGGACGCTCCGAGATGTACATTGTCCCATGATTGCACATCTGGCTCGGTGTCGCCATCAGTTTCATCGCCATGTGGGTCCATGAAGTTGAGAGATTAGACGAGTGGTCTCGTTGTAGGGTGCAGGATAGGTTGAAGATACAAGGTGGGATGATGCGGGCAGAGGTTTCCCAATGAGACTAGCGCTGCCAAGGAAGGACTTCACGGCCATCTGGGCACCGCGTCCTCCATCAGACATTTACGCATGATATCATCAAACCATGACATGGCATCGCTGCCGCGCTCACCGACTATACCAGACCACATACTGAGAGCCTATGAAGAACAGTACATTACTGGACCTCTCCGAGCTGCACTATTGGAGCTGCAGAGTCAGCGGGAGGCGACAGACAACACGGAAGCGCCTTTCAAACCAGTGCCATACGACGAAACCCCTGAACGGAGCTGGGGCCGACAATCTCCGCAACTCACACCAACTCCTTCACCCTCGCCATCGCCGAAGACATCGCATCGCAAACTGCAATCCTTTCCAACTCCACCCGACACGTCACCCCTGCGCAAGGACCCAGCTTCCGCATCACCTAACAAACCCGCCGCCGCACGTCGCCGACCTCGTCACCAGCAAATTTTGCAAACCCCAAAGCAGCCCTTTCACACTATGCTTCGTCGCTCACGAGCCCGCATGGGTCGAGCCCAGGAAAGGCGCTTTTTCGAGTTAGATGCGTCTGGTCGAAGGGCCAGGCGCATTGTTGAATGATGAGCACGGAACAGACAAGCGACAAGACTGAACCATCCACACGTGTAAGCAGAACATATAAACAATATGTATAGAATGATCATACGCAACTAGGTACGTGTATTGCTGTATCTCTCCAGGATACCCGCTAATGATGCATAGTAGCAGTTATTGATGACCTAGACACCGTCCCGCCTCCGCACCGAGACGATCTCGAACAGTTATGTTTTGAGAAGGAATGCCAAAGGCTGGATGTACCACAGGCCTATGCTGAGCGGGTGCTAGTGTGATGAGGACGTCCACCTTGCGGGCAGTACGATATGGGCAGTGCAAGGCAGAAAAGAGGACATGATATGGTGCGACGGTACTTAGAAGGGTATTTAACTATTTAGTTAACGTGTCGGATCAGTAAGCTGGGCAGATCAGTAAGCTGGGCACCCCACCAAACTTGATGCGACGTTCTGCGCAATTGAGCCACAACAACGCAACAGAATTAGTTAAAACTAAAAGATATTATTTATTATCTAGCTCTGCACGAAGTGCGGGTGTGTCCTTGAACATGGCACTTCGTACACGTCGGCGGCGCGCGCTGACGTCGCTCACCAGCCTGGTTCTGATCAGCGCCTATGACCACCCTTTCTGCCTCTGCAGCAAGCTGCTGAGCCTGCTGTACCTGGAGCACTCCACCAGAGGCGATATATTGACGCGGCTGGCTTTGTTTTTGTCGTTGACGCTGAATCTCTACCCGTAGCTTCTTGTTCTCCTCTGCAAGTATTGTTGCTGATTGCATTGCAAGCTGCGCGCTTTTCGCGAGCTGACGTATCGCAATACTTGTTGGACTCTCTGACTGTCGGTGTAGTCGCTCTTGGAGATAGCGCACCTGCTGCTGAAGCTGCTCTACTGTGTGCGGTGTTTCTGTCTGCTCTGCAGTCTGCGTCTGCGCTGCTGTCTGTGGTGGAGACGGTGTTCTAGCTACTGTAAGCGACGATAGAACGCGATCTGGGCAAGAAGGAATAAGGCCTGTTGCCTGAAAGCCTGCTTGGATATTCTGCTGTGTGAAGACTATTGGCCGGATTCGCGTATAGGCTGTAAGAAAGTCTATCTTGTCAATATGATAGACCCCTTGTCGGGCGAGCTCCTCAATCTGACGTCCATAAGCGCGCTTAAGAGGGGAGTAGCAGCTTACGTCTAGAGGCTGGAGGAGGTGAGAGGTATGATATGGCATACAGAGAGTGATAATCTTATTCTCTGTACAGTACTGGTCGAACTCTGGCGTGGCGTGGCTACTATGGCCGTCTACAATAAGAAGTCGATAGACTCCAGCTGTACGAGCCGCTGTATGCTGATTGAAATGCTTCACCCACTCCAAGCCTAGCTCGTCTGTCGTCCAGCCGTTGTCTGACACGCCGACAGTCCAGTCGAGTGGGAGGTCGCGGTACCAGTTGCTCTGATGGACTTTACCAGACAAGATCACGAACGGTGGTAGAGACCAGCCAGACGCGTTAATACACTCGATGACTGTCACCCACTCGCGATTGCCTGGCTGTATAACGACTGCGCGGCCGACTCTATCAGAGCTAGTCACAACTTTAGACGTTGCAGCGACGCCCATAGCAAATCCAGTCTCGTCAAAGTTGTAGATGTCTTGGTCTAGAACGCCGTACGTCCGGCGCGTCTCCTCTACTAGCTTAAACCACGCTGCGATTATAGCAGGATCCTCACAGTAGGCGCGCTGGCTATTAAGCCTTCTAGTCCACTTTGTCTGAAGCTCTGGCTGGCTTTGGATAAAGCGCGACACCCATTTCTTGCCGATAGGTTGTGGTGGTGGATCTTGGCCACGCGCCATAAGTAACGCGTCCGCCATTCGTCGCACGTCAATAATATGAGGTGGAAATCCCCGTCGATCAAGGTCTAAGATCTACTGTATGAGAGACTGCTCTTCAATAGATGATAGCTTGCGGTGGATTGATCGCAGCTCTAGTTGTGGCTGAGTACCATGGACGCGAGTATGTAGTGTTGATTGCGGCATATTGTAGGCTTTTGCAAGAGCGCGGATAGATTGTTTTGGATTATTATGATAAGATGTGAGAGCAAGACTTATTCTGCCTTCACGAGAAGTCTGCATAGAGCGTTGTTGTCGCGGCATTATGGTGGTTATGTAGAGAGTCGCGTCAGGTTGGGTGGGGTGCCCAGCTTACTGATCTGCCCAGCTTA